GGCTTTTATTCATTATATTTTGACAAAATGCAATTTTTGTTAACATTTTTATCAAAACACTATATTTGCCTTTTTCTCCATGTACCGCTTTTAGACTTAGTCCTCATTTTGATGTGATGGGTCACATTTAATAAACTAGGAAAAAGGCAAACATGTGTTTCCATCCTTGTAGCAGTTATCCAGTTTCACCACATTTTTTTAATGTCTACAATCGTAAAGATGAAATGAAAAAGTTTGTATTTTCTTGTTAAACATAGTTTTTGTTGTGAGTTAGTTGTAAAGCTGCTGAAAACAGTTGTATTGATGAGAAGTTGAACTTTGTCTCTGTGTGTGTCTGTAGGTATGAGAATCCTTTGAGCCCTTTAGGGCAGCACATCTCCTCTGAGCTGACAAAAAGACAGRTGTTTGAGATCCCCAGCTCACACTGCAACCTGGACCTGGACGAATACGAGTATGAAGACGACTTCGAATGACYCCTGCTGCGTAGATCGATTGATTATTTATTGATTTAAACCCAGAGGTCACCGTGAGGCTGTGATGATGTGCAGAGACCCACACTCTGCCACCATCCTGCACAACAGGACACATTTAACCAGGCAGATCACTGGAGACACTACGAACAGCTGTGCCACAGATTTCACATGCAAAACTTAAAAAGAGCAGTTTCTCTACAGCTTTTTTATATATATTAAAACCTGTGAAACGTTTAAGAATAAAGATGGCACTTCTTGCATTGTTTATCTCCCCACTGTTTACTGCAGGTCTCATTGTTTTCAGAGTCATATTCACACAGGAGCTCACCGAGTTGTTGAAAAGAAGCCTTGTTGATGTAATTCAGCAGAACTTATTGGCTAAAGGTTACATTCCAGTGATCATATCAAAGAATTGTTTTTTAATTTTATTTTATGAGGCTGCAAATTTCAGAGCCGTTGATTCAGGTTTGCTGTAAAAGCCAAATAAGCCACTCAGGCCTTCTGCACACACGACCCCACGCTGAATACTGCTCGTCTTGTCTTTAAAGTCACGTTAGGATGAATTAATTTATGTCTGACATGGGGTTTTAAATTCTTAGAGATGACTTTATGTATATATTTATTTGGAGTTTGCTGTGTTGTAAATGACATGGAGTTTTAATCATTTTTCTGTTAGAGTTCTTTAAATGTACTTTGACAGAAAAAAAGAGTTTACCTTTTTTTTTTGAACAAATAAAGCTATGGTTAATGAAAAAGCAAGTGCTGTTTAATGTGATCATTGCTAAAAAAAATTACACATTTGGTAATTTTGCAAAGCTTTGCCAATAATTTTCAGCATCGGTGTGAAGAGGCCAAATATATTTAGCAAAATCAAAGTTTTCCAAATGCTAAGCTGCAATCATAGGAGGAACTATTTGATAAGAAGTTAGAAGCTAAAATAAAAACTTTAGGTGTCTTTATTTTTTATATTTATTTACACTGAATACATAAAGTCAGAATTTTAAAGTAAAGCACCACTCACAAATAAACCCATCTAATAATCATGTTATCCAAAATCTGAATAAAAAAATGTATTTAACAGATACAGTTTACAGGTGTGTATTTAAAAGAAAAACTTACTAAAATTCATGCACGAGTAATGAAACTAAACCTTAAAAAGACCAGAACAATTTGTCCAAATAACTGTTCCACACACCTCGTCTTAAAACCTGCTCATTTGTCCACAAGGTTGTTGATCAGAATTTATTTTGTTTTGTTTGTCATAATTATAAATCAGAAACATGATTTCTTATTGTGATCCRGAAAAAAAAATGCTTTGAGTCTGCTGGTCCATTTCAGGGTTTTAGCCTTCTTAAATAAATTAATTTCAATGTATATTACAGACATTTWAGTGTTTTAACAACGTATTAAAACCTTAGTGTTTACAAAGGTTGATAGGAAGCTAAACTGAGTATAAATAGTGCATTTGTTGAGGACTTTTTTTGACTGGTAAGTTATTTTATTTACCGGTAATAAAGTGCTTGTGGATGAAACAGTGCAAAAACTGCATCTCATTAGCCATTAGGCTAATATTCAATTATTAATTGGTTTTAAGTCTTTGCATGAAAGAGATATTTTCTCCCATATTTCAAAAACATTTAAGAAAACCATCCACCCATTTCTTTTTTTTATCTTTGAGTCACTGGGAACTGGTGCCCGTCTCCAGCACTGTAAGACATGGGACACCTTGGACAGGGTCTCCAATCCGCCGCAGGGACACAAAGAGCTCAGTGATCCTGCAGCAGCTCGAACCATTGCTTCTTGTTTAGAAAAACCCAATAATTGAGGTTGGGATGATAGTAGGACCACCTGGAGGTAAGTCTCCTGCAAGGTGCAGATTTTGGACAAATATTCGACYCGCTCTTGTCCAAATGGGAAATCCACTTTGAAGTTACAGCTCAACCTCCACGGCGCCGTCGTCCAGCTCCGTGGCCATGCCGAGGATATGGTCGTCAGTGTTGAAGTTTCTGCCAGGAAGCTCCGGAGGAACAGAGGACAGATCCATAGTTCCTGGTCTCTCCTGATAACTGAGGGGACAATGTGACGGTGTGAGACAGTGTGAGGTGAGGGGAAGACACTTGTATACTCTACAGCAGGGGTTCTTAACCTTTTTGACCTCAGGGCCCAGTTTATTGAACATAAAGTGTCACGAGGTCCAGTCAGACAATATCAATGTATGGATCAAAATCATAATTATTCTAAATCTTGTTTAATTTTTATTGTATTTTCATTACAACTAAATTAAATACACTTACATTTTAAAAGTAAAACTCCTGTCAAATAATCAATAATCACAGGACATGATTATAACAAACATTTTTAT